TACTGGCGTTTCCCGGCAGATGGGAATGCCCCTCTGGTGGCACATCCCCCTCTCTGTTGATGCAGGTCATTGTGGATGGTCCTGAAACTGAGACAGAGGCTGAGGGACCCCGCGGTGGCCTTTACCAGGTATGACATCCAGGGACATCCGGGGTTTGGTCGGGAGAAGGCTGACTTCGTCCTGCACTCTGGGGACCCGGGTGGGAGCCAGGAAGCTGCTTCCACCAGTTATGAGCCTCGTCCTCTGCAGGCCTGGGCTGGGGTGGCCGCGTGTGCTAGATCATGGGGCCTACGGCAGCTCCAGGGACTGGCACAGGTGGGGAAACTGAGGCCTGCTTGAGGCCCTGTAGACAGGAAGTGGCTGAGCCTTCATGGCGGCGCCCCCAGCAGGGAGGCTGATCTGGGACAGTCGTTTCTTGAGGACTGTGCTCACCGTCCATGTTTCATCCGGGCTGGGAGGGAATGTGGGGCAAAGCCGCACCCCGGCAGGCCCAGAAGCTGGGCCCCCACCAGTCCCCCCACCCGTCTCCAGTGGCCAGACGACCGAGGTGTGGGTTTGAGACTTTTCCTGCCAGTCTGTGCCCTTTTCGTGCCATGAGCTCCCTGTTGGGGGGTGTGACAGGGACCCAGTCCCACATTTCCCTCCCTCTGCTGTCACCTCTTCCGGCCTATTTGGGGGAGCGAAGGCACTCGTGGTTCGTCCACAGCACCTTCTCTCTGCTCCCACAGCCGGCTGCCGCGGAGCAAGAGGAGGGCCTTGGAGGCCCAGGTTCAGTCGGAGGTGCTGACTCTCTTGAGCAACCTGGCCGATCTGGCCAACGCCGTGCACTGGCTGCCTCCGGGCGTCCTGTGGGCCGGCCGCTTCCCCCCGTGGCTGGTGGGCCTCCTGGGCACCGTCTCCTCCCTCCTCAGTGTGTACCAGGCCGTCCGGGCCGGTGACTGGACCGAGGCCACCGCCCCCTGACGTGGCCCGGAAGGTGTGGATGCAGCCGGAACCCCACCGGAGGGCCCCCTCCCACAAGGCAGAAATCACCGGGGCTGGGGCTGGGTCTTTAATTGAGCGAGTCAATGCCAGGTGTAGGGAGGTACGGCCCAGAGAACGCTCGAGCAGCCTTGGGGACAAGGCCAGGGTGGGGCAGGATGTAGGCAGGGGTGAGGTCCCCCGAGTGCTGAGGGCTAGGGCCTTCCGGGCTCAGTGGGGGAGGCTGCTCTCAGGTCCAGAGTAGGGGTCTCCAGGCCTCACGTGCAGAGGAACCTCAGCAGACCCTCGCACGGCCTGTGTCCTGCGTTCCAATCAAGGCGAGCAGGAGAGCCCAGGCGGCGTGTGCCAGGCGGGCCTTCGGACAACGGAAACGAGGATCAATTAAAGGGTGTGCTGGTGCCAGGTCCACGTGTGAGCTCATTCCTGTCTCGCTGGCTCCTGCCCCTCCCGCCCGCAGGCCCCCTGGCTCACACAGGCCCCTGGGCCTTATTTTCCGAGCTGTGTAAGTGCTGCATGGATGTGGTGGGTGCCTGGAAACCACACCTCCCCAGCCCGCCTCCTGGAACGTGCTTGGCTCAGCGGGTCCTCTCGGACTCTGTGAGCACAGCCCACCCGGCCCGGAGCAGCCCTTGGCCGAGGCGGGCGGCTCTCCCGCCCGTCTCAGGCACAGGGGCCACACGGACGCCGCCTCCCACCCCCACGCCTGGGTCTTGTCCTCCTGGGTATCACTGGGGTGCTTGTGGCGGCTGAAGCATCTCACACTCCGACACGGCCAGGACCCAGGGCCGGTCTGAGCATGTCGTGGGCGCCAAGCTGGGGCTGGGCCACGCAGGCTCCTGTCTCCCTCCTCGTGGGGATCAGGGTGCGATGGGATGCATTTACTGTTCAGGCTGACGTTTGAGAGCCACCGCCCCCGTGTGGCCTCAGGCAGGCACCTGCAGGTGGTGGCCAGCCCACACCTGCCCCTCCCCGTGACAGGAGTCCTGGTGGGAAGGCAGAGGGGATCATGCTGTCCCTCTGGAAAGATCTAACAAAAATGGCAGTTTGCAGCCCCTGGGGCTTCATGGGACACCCATCGCATCTTGTTTCCCAAGGAAGTGACGTGGTGGGAAGAGCTGGGGTGGAGGCCACTTTGGGTGGACACGGGGCGCAGGAGAGACCCCCCTTGGAGCACCCTGCCCCACCTGTCTGTCCCTGGGGTTCACAGGTGGGGGGTGGGCCAGGCTCTGGGCCCTTAGCAGAGGCCCCCTTCCCAGCACTCGGGGCCACCAGGGAGATTGGGGGGGGGGTGGTCACAGCAGCACCCACTCACCTGCCTGGAGACTCAGTTAATACAAGGCACCCAGGGCAGGATGTCTGTGGGCAAACCACATGAGCACCTGGATGCTAACGTGTCAGGTCACGGGTGCCCCAACAGGCTGGTGTCCCTGTGGGCCCGGGCTGTGTGGGAACACTGCTGGGTGGTCAAGGAGAAGCCCCACCTGCAGTGTGGCCACACCCCCTGCTCAGCCTCTTCAGGTCTTCATTCCCAGGAGCTGGGCCTCAATGGGTTCTCTCGGGACCCAGGGAGTACACATGGCAGCAAACTGGGGAGCAGGGAGGCTGGTGGGCCTGGAGGATGGCCCAGAGGCCAGCCATGGCTCCTTGTCAAGAAGGCTGACGCCCCAAGACCACGGGGATAGGTCTGAACGGAAGGGGGCCGCGCTGGAGCGGGGAGGACTGGCGGTGCTCCCACACCTCAGTCCCCTGCGGAGGGCTGCTTCTCCCCGGGCCACGGCCGCCCTGGCCTCGCCACCACCCCCAGTGTGATCATCATCCGGAGCATCCTCAGAGGGGACCAGGGCGGGCTTGTGGGCTGGGCTCCTCTGTGCGGGGCCACCTTGCTTGCCCAGGAGGAGCCTCAGCATCCCTGAAGCCACCACCCCAGCTGCGGGGCAGGGGAGTGTCCTGCACTCTTCCACAGGCCTGACCCCTGCGTGCAGCAGGTGGGAACATCAGTTCGGGGGGCTCCTACGGCATCCCGGTCACGCAGGTCCTGTGGAGGGGAGTCTGCGGGGCCCTGAGCGTGGCGTCCAGGCCTCCCCCAGGTCCTACTGCAGCAGGGGGTGTGGCGGGGGGGCCCCGCCTGGGGAGGGGAGCCACGGGAGTCTCCCCGTAATCCACCATCACAGCACCGGCGTTGGGCAGACGATCCTCAAACAAAACTCCAAACCCTCAATACGAACACTCCGTCCACTCACCTCCGACGCTTTTATTGCTGGAATCAGGTCTTAAGTTCTAAGACGGTTCTGAAAGATCCCGCGGTGAGGAAACGCAATCATCGTAAAAGCAATTGTCGGGTGGACTAAGATTATGGTCACGATTAACAAAGACGCGCACAGATTCCACAGAAATAGTATCTGTTCAGCCACCGACCACACAAGGAGAACTGGGCTCTACCCAGGGGTGACCTCCTGCTGGCCAGACATGTACCGCCACTGCCCCGCTGCGTGGCACGACCGAGAAATGCTCTCGGCCCCGTGGCGGGGAGCCCCGACTGCTGCCACGTGGCTGAGCGGAAACTCCTCACCGCGAGGGGCACCTGGCGGTCACATCGCCCAGCACAAGGGCCCAGGAATGTTCTCTTTACGACAGGACAGGGACCTAAAGTCAACTTTTCTAAAGTGCTCCGATACGTCTCGGTACGACACGAACACTGATTAGAGACGTGGCACAGGTCGGCTCCGCTGTGTCACAGGACCGAGGGAGACCGCTTTTCCTTGCTCCTCGAGGAGGAGGACACAGTCGAGAGGAGGGAGCAGGCGGGGTTTCTCGGAGAGGCCCGGGAACGTCACACCATTTCCTGTGCTTGGGAGAGGTTCACGACCGCTGCTTTCGGTTCCTCCGTCAGGAATGCCTGTGTCGCTCCACCCTGCAGCGCCCCCGCTCCTTGGTCAGCAAGGGACCCAAGTCCTCCCACCAATGCCTTGGAAGGGACTGGGCTCTGTGGCGGGGCCAGGGGTGCAAAGGCTGCGGGATCCCCACTCGCCCACCTGGCACCCAGAGTTCCTCCAGAGCCGAAGTGTGGCTCTGACCCGTTTGCCACCCCTGACCGTTCCTGGACATCTAACACCCCCCCCCCACCCCCTGCCGTCCACAGCTGTGCAGCTGGACTGTGGGGTGGGGGGGAGCTGCCCTCCAGGGAAAGTGGACAGTAAGCTAGCATGGCTCACTGGGCATGAGGCACCCACGGCCATCTGGCCACCTAAGGTCTCCTGGCCACACGTGACCCCTCTAGCATCTCACCCTTGTCTGCCAGGGCAGGGCAGTCCCACCACTCCATTCCCTAAACCAGCACCTGCCCCTCAGTGAGGGACGCCTGTCCCGGGGGCTTCCTCCCTGTGGCCCCAGGAACACCAGCCCATCTCATGGGGGCTGGGGACCCTCTGCTAGGAGCGGGACCCTCAGGAGTGCACGAGTCCTGCCTGAAGCTCTCGATTTGCCTTCTCCGGACAGGCTGAATGCCCAGAGAACAGCTGGTGCCCTTGAGTCCCACCGAATCATGCCAACTGGGTGAGGTTCCTCTGGGAAGCACAAAGTTGAGCAACAGCAGCTTTTAAAAACCTCTGTCAAATTAAAATGAGTTATGGCCCGCCCCTTCCAGAACCTATAGAACCTGTCTACGGTGCCACGGGCCATCCCCTTCATACGCCCTGCCCTGTGGCCCTCTGTCCCCAGGTGGGCTGTGTGCCACCCCTGGTCTGAGCTCACGCCCTCGGCCTTGAGGTTCACCGTGAACACATGTAGGTTTCTGCTTTGGAAGCTGATTCTGCCGACACCACCCACCCCTCCTGGTGCCCTAATGACACGTTCCAGCGTCTCCCGGGGGCTGCGGAGCCTGGCCCAGGGCCAGCACCTCCTCCTTAGACTGGGGTCTGGCCTGTCACCAGGCTTCTTGCGTTGGGCAGTCCCTGGGAACGATGGCGTGGAGTTACTCTCTCCCTACTCACATGGGGTGCTACAACTGAAACAGCTCCTTAGGTCAGCTCTGGCTCACCCTTCGATTACAAACTTTCCTTTCTGTATCAAAAAAAGAAGTTTAGAAAGTTACCCAGGCACCATTGTTAATCCTACAGAAAGAGCCTCGAGACGACAGGCCCGCCCCGGCCCAGACCCCAGCCCCAGCCATGCGGTCGCTGGTGTTGGTCTGCTAGGGAAGGGGGGAGGGACAACTGGGCTGCTCCCCGGAGAGCAGGAGAGGGAGGGGTCTGCACCTGGAGCCACAGCCCCTCTAGAAGAAGATGACGTCTTCCTTGCCGGCCTCTTCCTTGTCCAATGGCGTGGTGGGCAGTGGCAAGAAGGATGGGGGCACGGGTGCGCCCCCGGGCTTGGAGCCCTCAGGGGGCACGTCGGCTGGGGCTGAGCCGCAGGGGTCTGGAAGAGAGGGCGGGTGTCGGCAGCTGCCGGGCATCACAGCAGCCCCGCTGTCCCGGGGGGCCGGGCTCACCTGGGAGAGGCGTGGAGCCGTGGCTGCCTGGCAGGACGGGGCTCAGCGAGCGGCGGTTCCGAGAGGCGCCCTCGTCCTTGCCCATGAACTTGCCGAGAAGCAGCTGCTGCTTCAGGTCGAAGGAGGCTGAGGGCAGAAGGGCACGGCCCGGGGTGTCTGGCCTCGCTCCAGGCACACAAGCAGCCCCCCTCCAACCCCTCCTTGGCTCTTCCCCCAGACGGCCGAGGGAGGACGCCGGCACCCATGACCAAGGATGGCCCCAGGGACAGCGAGGCCAGACTACAGTGCGCCGCTGGAGAGAGACCCCGTGACCCCTGAGTCCCAGCAGTCCTGGGACACAGGCCCTGCTCCTCAGGGAACACCCCAGGGCTGGCTCCCCTCAGCCAGAGCCTGCATGCTGACAGCACCCAAGGGAGCCCCCCCGGGCTTTCCCTACCGGGGACCACTCGCTGCAGAGTGCTCTGTGCGAGGACCTCAGCGTCCCCTCTGTGGACCGAGGACCCCGTAGAGATGTGGGTGCTAGTGTCGGCACTGGCTGGGGGCTCGGTGGGAGTGTTAGCACTGCTTGCCTCGATGTCCCTCAGTGACCCAGGCTCTCTGACCTCTCCTCCTTGGTCACCCCTTTGCAGGGCCCCACTTTCTGAACTGCCAAGAGGTTCCCTCATCCCCAGTCCCAGTGTGAGGGCCGGGGTAGGAAAAGGACATGGGGTTTGATGTTTTAATTTTGCTTCTTGGGCTGGAAGACCACATGGGGACAGGTCGTCTCGGTAGCCTGGTGTCACCAGCTGTGCCTTCCAGTTTCCTCCTGGTGCCCCTTCCAGGGAACAGCCCTGGGGTCCCATTTTGGTTTGCTCCCAAGAAGCCGCTTTGGTCTCACAAACAGTGGTGAGTGGACCGGGTGGGCACCTGAGATCACCCGTCACCTAGAGCCCGCCAGGACTCCGCGGCCTCAGCTCCGCCCCCCGACTCCGGGCTCACCCGAGCTGTCCCAGCGCTGGGAGCCCCTGCTCTTGCCGCCCTTGTCCTTGCCGCCCTTGGTGGAGGCGGCCAGCTTGGTGGGGATTTGCTGCTGCACGGCCGCCTGCCTCTGGATCTGGTTGGTGGCGCTGAGCAGCTGGATGGGCACGTCGCTCTTGGCCGGCCGACCCTCCGCCGGGGTGCTGTCCCGGCGAGCCACCTCGGGGCGCTCTGGGAACTCGGGGCCCGAGCTGGACAGCAGCAGGCTCGCCCGGGGTCCTGGCGCTTTGGCGAGGCCGGTGGGCCCTTCCAGCCCTTCCCCGTTGAAGCTGGGAGCGTGGCTTGGGGGCTGGGCCTGAAAGAGGGACAGACGCCACATCCCAGAGCTGTCCCTCCTGCTGGAGATCACGTCC